GTCATTGATAAATAGTATTATACATCTGTCATTGCCACAAGTTACAGCGTGCCGTAAATTTGTGGTATTTTCATCTACCATATTAGGTAATGCGAATTCCAAATAAGGAATGATTACGTGTGTAACATGGCTGCCACCAAGGTTTGGCTGGACTCCACACAAAGAAGTTTGCTGATTCTGTTCTAAACATTTTGGATTTCGGCATTCCCATGGAAGGAAAAGATGTATAATAATAAGGTTATTACGAGGAGACCTTAAAGTATGCACTCAGACAGTACACCATTGCATCAAACTCTGCTGCGGGTCGGTCGATACTCCCATTGTACTGTCTTCGTGCATACTTTGAAGTATCCTCGTAATAACAAAACCTCATATTTATTATTACCCTAAATTCTGTATTAGAAGCCGCATCCCTAATAGAAGTCGTACCCATTCTTTTTGAACCATTGAGAACCAAAAATTCACCATTTCTCATATATGTAGATGCTCTAATAGAAGCTGCATCCCCACTGTTGCATTGTAACATTTTAATAGAAGTCCTGGCTTCTAATACAGATTTTACAGTACTACTGTACTAGATTATCAATTAAAATTCAATTTAATGTTACTGGGGGTAGTCCATGTAGAAAATAAGACCACTGTTTCACCTTATCAGTATGTTGTGTTCAACCTGTGTACAAGTTACAAATTTCTGTTTTTGTCCACAGTGTTGGCTTTGCTGGCATATTCCCACCCTGTTGTGATGACTTGTCATGTTCAGTACAAAGTAACCATATGAAATGGCAGGAAAGACACAGCTGTTGAAAGTAGTAATACTGGGAGATGGCGGCGTTGGCAAGAGTTCACTTATGAATCGGTTCATAAGCAACAAATTTGATTCCCAGTCCTTTCACACTATAGGTGTTGAATTTTTGAATAAAGATATCGTCATCGATGGACATAGTTACACTCTACAAATTTGGGACACTGCGGGACAGGAGAGATTCAAAAGTTTACGAACACCATTCTATCGCGGTTCGGATTGTTGCCTTCTAACGTTCGGTGTGGATGACGTGCAGAGTTTTCATAATTTGAACATGTGGAAAAAGGAGTTTTTATATTACGCCGATGTCAAGGACGGGGACAGTTTCCCATTTGTGGTGCTAGGAAACAAAGTGGACGTGCCACCGGAAGAGCGCCAGGTAACAGCCGACGAGGCCAAGTTGTGGTGTGAGGCTAATGGTAGGTCTCCATATTATGAAACCAGCGCTAAAGATGCCATCAATGTTGATGAGGCATTCACTGCAGCTGTGAAGTTATTATTGAAGATGGAGGAACGAGTCGAGATGAGATCCGGATATACAGACACTGTCAATCTGCATAAGAATCGATCGCGAAAAGATCATTGTCAATGCTGAACAAGACGTGTATGTGCTGTTCTGATACAATTCAGGGTTCTTACTGGTAAAGGAATTTTCAGACATTGAACATTAGTAGGAAAGCCTGAGCGAATACTGGCATGCACATTTACTGAGGCTTTTGGGGATGTATTACTTTCAAGAGAATTTACATTGTAATATACCCATATATGTGTACAATAAAATTGTATTACATTTGATTCCTTTACTTAATGGGAGTGATGCTCTAGAAAATGTTTTATATCTTTTTTTGAAGCATGGAGTGAGCTCATAGTTAGGGAGCATGCAGTCGGAATCACTTTTCGTGATTGGTGATTTCTATATTTTTATTAGAGGCTTTGTTTATATTACTTATTATTATATTACTTTCCACATCTTCAATAGTTTGTACAATTGTAAGCTTGCAATTTAACAGTTCAATGACATGATTTGTATATTTGATAAGATACAAGGAAACCGGTCAAATAGTTTATAGACCCCCTCCCCTGCCCAATACTGCCATTTTTCTTCTAATTTTATCTTTTATTTCTCTCAGCTCTATATCTAAACCTTATTATTAGTTTTTAATTGGCTTACAATGATTGTGCATCTTCATGGACTTTTTTTCCTTAAAAAAAGCCTGGACTGAACAAAATAATGAGTTGCTGATAGTTTCCATCATGTTTACACCCAGTGAATATTGCAGCCGTCTAGTATCCATGCTGAGTCGCATTCCAGAAATATTCTCTTTCTTTATAAGTCTAGACTAAAATAATTAAAAATATTCATTGCCAGCCATGCGAATATAATTGTACATCACTACAATGTGGGCAGTCTTCATTCTATATTCAGCAGAATCTGTGCAGCTAAAATAAATTAGAGTGTTCCCAGCAACCTGGATGCGCCTAGAAAATACATGCTTACTCTGTATCTTTTTATGGGCAGCTCACTTTCTGTTGTTTCTGGACCAATAATTTCAAAACCATAACTGCAAACAGACCATGAACGTAGCCTTGCGTTGTGAATGTTTCATTTCATAATGGACTAACATGCATGGTAGCATATTGTTTGTATGACAGTATGATATCAAAGCTGACAAAGACATCACACAACAAATACAGATTAGTATTAGAAAACTATCATAAAGCAAGAAGTTGTATCCTCCTACCAACCATGCTATTGTTTTCAATGCTACCAGAAACACTTTTATATTTTGCTTCATTTTCCACCTGTGCTTATGTTATATACTCTGGTATTTAATTTTTACTTTGAATGTGTAACTATAGCAACATGTACATTTCCAGAAAGTTGAGGTACCATATTTGCATATAAACCAAAAATCGCATTTGTTGTATCTAATGAATCATTAAAATATCACGTATTTTGAACACCTCTGTAATTTGTGTAACTGCAGGCACTACTAATAGAGCAAATATGGTATAATGGAATAAGAATATAGGACTGCATGTGTACATATTATGTGATTGTGAAACAACTTTGCTTTTCGTTTGTTTCATGAAATTATCTCTTAAATTCATTCCTTGCTATAGTTACATGCATATACCGGTACCTAAATTATTGAGACTACAAACCATTATTGAGGAATTTTCCCAGTAAAAAATGTTTTTGCATAGATTTTTACAGTAACTTTTTTTTTTTTTTTTTACAACAGATACTTTTTCTGCAGTATATTTCAGGCAAGGGAAGCTTTGTTAATTATAGTTTACACTAGTC